ATTTAGTAGGCTACAGGAAGGGATGCCAGACTGCATGAGAGGCTCCAGAATCGGAAAGGCTGCAGAACGGGGAACCTTTATTTCTGTTCTTGGGATATTCAAGGTATTGAGAGGGAAATAGGTGCTCAGAGGAGACGCTAGTGGGGGGGGGGGCACTGATCTGCTTCTCATGGAACCTTAGTGGCTTACAAGTGTTACCATTCTACCCTGGAGGCTGGGCCTTGCCTTTTTAACACCTGATTTGACATGAAGTGGGTGCTCAGCTTTGCTGGCATAGCTTTGAAGGACACAGGGCCCAGGGTCTGGGGAGATTTCTCTGAGAGTTGCTCTCCTAAGAACTGAAACTGTTCTGCAGCTTCACTTGGGAGCTAGGCTAGCTACCACTCCTGGATGGATTGCTTTCCTTCCAGAGTGTACACAACAACTTGATGTGGAGAAGTGACTTCACAAGAGCTTATGTCACTACCCATCCAGGACTAGCTCTGCATGCTCACTGTCACAAGTATCCAATACTTCCCTTTCCTTGTCCTTGAGATTGGTCACCCTAGAGTAAGCTGGGCCCCTCTGGTTCAGTTCAACAGCCAAGGCACAAGGAAAGGGTGGTTGTGAGGCATGCATATGCAAAGTAGGTAAATCTGTGAACCATTTGGCCTACCTCCCTTTATTTACACCAGCAAGCGCAAATATCATTCATGTCTGAAACACAGATTTCACAGCTTTCAGACTCTCAACCAGGTAGTTTCTAGTCTTTTAATCTCGTCCTTAATTTTACCATCATCAGCCCTTTGATGGTCATTCACAATTATTAATTTCTGCTTCATACACAGCAATTCAAAAGATGTTCCTTTGCACAGCAGAGTCCCATGAACCTGTTCCTGTGATGGCACAGATGAGTGCTCCAGTGTTTACCAATTGTTCCTGCGTCTGAGTCTGACATTTCCTACATATGTTTTATCAGTCACACAGGGTAGCAGTCCCTACTGAACACAGATGAGAAGCATGCAAAGTAGTCAAGAGTAGAGGACAAAGCATTTCACACTGGAAGTGTGCCCATTCTTTGAGAATAAGGTGTTGCAATTCCTCTTTTTAAGACACTGATATATACCATAGAAAACATTTTAAAAGAATTCTTAAACACAATCACCTCTGTTATGTTTGTTTGTGCTAGCTTTGAAGGAAAAAAAGCATGTGGCAACTAAAAGAAAATGAGAGTTTTTGCATCCTGCTGAGATTACTCTAACTCTATCATGTATGGATTGTAACCACAAGGTGGAGCTATGATGTCATAATTTGTTAATACTTATAAAACATGCAGATAATTTATTAAGACACAATCTAAGAGGATAACTTAATTTTGCAACTACACACTATCTCCAATTAATCAATTATGTCCCGCTGGTGCTCAGTAGGAAATATGCGTCCATTTGCTTAGTGCTGCTTGGGCTGTTACTGAGCCTGGCCACACAAAACCACCACAAAATTTGATTCCCCTTTCTCTTCTAGATCCTAATGTGTCTTGAAGTTCACTGAACACACTGTAAGGAACATCTTAAAATCACTTTAAAGGTTACTGTGCAACTATAGCCAGAAAGATTTATTATCTACCTCAAATCTACAGAAAACCTTCTCCACACCTTAATTCTAAGTGACAAAGTAACATCTACTTTAGAATGAGGTTTCAGGATGGTAACCTTTCTTTATGGCATGCTACTTTAATTTCAAATTAATGACTTTTGTATCATTATATAGGCAGAAATTCCAGTTACAAAGGCTATCGATATTCAAAAATAGTCACATATTTTTCAGTGAAAACAGAACATGCTAATTGGTTTCTTAATATCCTAAACAAACAAATATGAACATCATAAATTTGTTAGCAAGAAAATCACTCTCACACCTGAATGCTGGATTTTGTGAGGCAAGGAGCCTTTCCACAGGCCCCAAGCCCAGTTTGAATTTAATTTTTTTTTGTTGTGGTTAGGGCTTTTTCTTCCTTCCTTCCTTCCTTTCTTTCTTTATTTTTGAGACAAAGTGTCTCTGTGTAGCCTTGGCTTCCCTGAAACTAGCTCTGCAGATCAAGCTGGCTTCAAATTTACAGAGATCCACCTGCCTCTGTCTCCTGGGTGCTGGGATTAAAGGTGTACACCACTATGCCCAGCTTGAGTTAGCATTTTGAAAGCATGCTACCATGTACTTATCTATTTTCCTTATTACTTTTAAATTTTGAATTCAACGCTTATTTCTTCTATAAACACACACACAAACACAAAAAGCCTTTATGGATTTCCAAGTACTTTTTCTCCTTCAATGTCTTTTTCTTTCTGGCAACCCCAAGTCTATACTTGTTTTCTAAAAGGCCACAGTAAAACAGTGCTGACAAGCCTGCTTTCATGGTGTCTCAAAAAATTTAATTTTCTAAAACATCACCTAGTGAAAGGAAGTTATTTACACAGACTGACTCTCCACTGTGAATAGCAATTTTAAATTCTATTAGATTTTCCTGCAATTCAAAGAGATCTGCTGTCCAAATGGGTTCCACACTCCAAATGAATGACATGTCCAAAGACTAACACGTAAGATACACACTAGTGCTTAGCAAATAGGCAAATAAACTAGTGTATGTTCAGACAGCAAAGCAGTAACATGGACCCCTTCTGTCTACAGATAGACAGACAGACAGAGACACAGAGATGGGTCTGTTTTTAATATGGCTTGTGTACTGGCTGGTTTTGTGTGTCAATTTAGCAAGCTGGAGTCATCAGAGAGGAAGGAGCCTCAGTTGAGGAAATACCTCCATGAGATACAGCTGTGAGACATTTTCTCAATTAGTGAGCAATTGGGAGGCACCATTGTAGGTGGAGTCATCATTGAGTTTGTGGTCCTGGGTTCTAAAGAGAGCAGGCTGAGCAAGCCAAGTAAAGCAAACCTGTAAGCAGCACCCCTCCATGGTCTCTCCATCAGCTTCTGCCTCCAAGTTCCTGCTCTGTTTGAGTTTCTGTCCTGACTTCCTTCATTGATGAACAGTGATGTGGAATTGTAAGCCAAATAAAGCTTTTCCTCTCCAACTATTGCTTTCTGGTCATGGGTTTTTCACCAACACTAGAAACCTTAAGACAGCTAGAACTGCACTCTAATAGAGTATTTTTCCCCGATGCACCTCTCTTCTAAAGATATCTGTCACATTTTGTTATTCCTAAAAGAAAAAAAAAGAAGAAGAAGAAGAAGAAGAAGAAGAATACACGAATCATGACTCGGCAATGGCATTGGGAACTCAGTGTCTCAATATTGAGTTTTCTCCATCTATCCAACCCTACATTTTTCCCATCTTTTAGATTGTATGATCTATTTATGGGAGGTTTACTTATTCTCTGTAACTACTTATGATTCTAAAAGACATATTACATTATTTAATTGAATGAGTAAAAAAAAAAAAAAAAAAAAACCCAGAAAATTTGCTAAGTTAGTTGTCTTTATTCAATTTCTGTAACCACGGCATAATGTTCATTACACTAGGTGGCAGTCTATATATTCAATCACATTAAGAGCCAATGCTTGGTATCTGCCCTCCTGTAGAATAATGTGACACTGGGTGTGAAGCTAGCTTCCTGAAAGAACGCCACCTGCTTTACAGTATGGTGGCACCAATGCCAGACCAGATCTACATACTGTGAACACTCTGCCTGAAGTGTAATTAAATTCACAAATCATTACTAAAATACTTCCTCAATCTAATTTATTTACTTTGGATATTTAGGTCCACCAAGAAGTATTGCAGATTATTTGTTTAGACTGTAAAGATATATCTCTGCCTAAGGGACCTTCTGATCACTTTAATAAAGAGGAAAAAGGCCAATATCTAGGTAGGAGAGAGAGAGAGAGAGAGAGAGAGAGAGAGAGAGAGAGAGAGAGAGAGAGAGAGAGACTGGGAGTAGGAATCTAGCCTGTGATTTTACCAACAGACTCTGAGCAAAGTGGATGTGCCACACTAAGAAGAGGTAACCGGGCTATGTGGCAAAATGTAGACTAAAAATATGGGTTAATTAAGTAATAAGAGCTCCTTGGGAAAAAGCTGAACCTAAAGTCAAGTTTTCATACTTAATAGTCTCTGGGTGTGATTATACATTATTTATGTATAATAAATACAGAGTTCAGAATGCAAAGCCAGCCAAGCCACAGAGGTCAGGCAAAGATGATACATACCTCTAATTCTAGCAGCCATACTAGCTAGTCACAGAGCTAGGTAGTGGTGAGACACACCTTTAATCCCAACTCAAGAGACAAGCAGATGGATCTCTGTTAGTTCAAGGCCACATGAAAATTGATCCAGACCTAAAGAGAAACAGCTCACACAAAGGTGATCTCAGCTTGGATCACAAGCTTTTAATACCAGCACTAGGAAGGTATAAAAGAAAGAATCAAAGAGTCTCATGAGAGAATTAGTCCACAGCCAGTTGAGGAGAGACAGTAGTCTGAGGTTTGGTGAGAGCTGGAGACAGGATCACCCTTTCAGTCTGAGGTAGAGTGGCCTGCTGCTTTGATTCTCTCATCTTGAACCCCAATCTGTCTCCGGGTCTTTATATGTCGTGTTACCTCTGGGTCATTATTTGCAGGCTGGCAGCCCACAGATAGTCCCGCAAGAAAGTGTGTTACAAAGAAGAGAACAAGAAGAGAACCAAACTTCCTTCCCAAATCAGTTTCCTAGTGATGAGTACAGGTGAATCACTATGGACTTACTGCCTAGATCATCACAGACTCAAAAACCATTAGACAAATATGTATGTTGACTAAACTGATAGCTTTCATTTCCACTCCTGTACAATGAGTAATATAAACTCCCTGGACACTGTGAACGTAGACATGCATATTTAAAATTTAGGTAGTAATTTTGACATAATTCTAAGCCATGAAGCTGAATGCAATAACTACAACTCTTATATCCAGATATGCTCTCAGACTAGTTTATTTCTAAAGATCCATCAATAATACAGAAAAGCACAATGTTCATTTTAAATTATTTTATTTTTCATCATTTTTCTAACACAGAGAGTTAGAAAAATGAATTTTGGCACCAGGAATAAGAACTTTGTTCAAGTTTAACCTTTAAATCAAAAACAATAGCTATCACAAAAGATATTTAAACTTCTTTCAGAGAAATATTAAAAACTGGAATCAAAATTTTGCTGGACAGTTTTAAAATGTGGGGCAGAGGAAAAGCAATAGAAAAGACCAAAGAATGATAAAAAAGATTATGGTGAAGTAAAGAAAGATAACCCCCAGGGAAAAAAAAATAATGAAGAGAACAACTAAGAGTAAATGGTAAGAAACAAGGCTTGAAAACCATTTTCCTGATATAAAATTCAAGTACTTAAGAAGTTTTGAGAAACATTGTAAAATGTACTACTAATCTCAATGAACATGTTCTATTTACTCACTATTTTCTAGAATTGTGCGGGAGGGGAAGGTCAAAAGGAAACAAAATTCCTGCTTGCCATAAGGACACTTGGACTTAAGCACTCTGCAAAGCAGAAAGACATGTGAGCTTCCCCTGAGAGCTTGCCCTGGAGGAACACAGGGGTCCATTCCAACAGAAAGGAATATCCACCTCACACATTAAGTATACTTCCCATGGATATGCTCCTATTGCTGTTTGCACTAAGTGTCTTGAGGAAACCCTTTGTGCAATATTTTCTTTGGGTTTTCTTCCTAATTACTGAAAACAGACCTACACAGAGGTCAATATGGCTTAATAATTACATATAAATTCAATAATCATCAGAATTCCAAGTTTCCAGACTTGCTGATTTTCATTTATAACCATATTCTATACTTCTCCACAATGATAAATAAATCTCAGGGATTTTTAAATAGGAAAATATTACTAGGCTTATTATCATTCATGCCTTCCTTTGTACCTAAACATTTTGTAAGCTGTCATTATTTTCAGAGACAGTTAAAGCATAGAAATAAATACAAACTTTAACTTTCTTTTTCCTTTCTCTTCTTCTTCTGTGTTTTAAGGCTCAGAGCAGACATTAAGAAACATCAAACAATTTTATGTAAAAAGTTTTCAAATGGTTGACCCAAAGTGAAGTTGTTCTGTTGATATCCTTTAAACATTCCTCTCCTCATCCTCTTCAGCACAACTTCAAAGACATGTTCATGCCAGTCATCCATCTCAAAGACCGATTCAATTCCAGTTAAGTAAATAATTTAGGGATCTATAAATGACACTGCAATGTATCTTGTTCCATTTTTAACAGGAAGTCCTTCGTGCAAATGTGTAAGTCTCCCAGGATGCATGAAGCTCCAGCCTTTTCTTGGGGACTCAATGGAGCAATTATACCTTAGAAATTTGCATCCACCTCCCTAAAAAAGACACAAAGATATCAACTTAGTATTTTACATTTTTAGTCAGTAGCAACATTCAAACCATGCCATAGTCTAAACAGCAAGTGAGAAACAAATTTCAGCAGAATGTTCCCCATAATGTCACAGTTCCTGGAAATTTTCTATATTTGCCATAGTTACCTGAAAATCCTCTCCTACATTATTGAGAGCAATGTTGATGGTAAATGTTGAGGCATCATGATGGGGACGGAGCGAGCGCTGTCTTTCAGGTGAGTACTTTACTACAAAATTCAGTAGTGCAAATCCCTAGGAAAGCAACCCAGTAGATCTGCTTAGCAACATGAAGGCGCAAGAGCATATTCATGTGTGAACAGGTAGGGAATAGGCAGGAGGAACGGGACAACTACCTTTGTGTAATAGCCTGCAAAGACCTTCAGGGTAACTGGAGCAATGAACTCCCGGATAAAGTGAAGCCAAACATTCTCCAGATCAATTTGCTTCATATGAATATCATCAGTTGGGACATTTTCATAACCACCAGATATACGGCTATCCTAGAAATAAACATTAACACACCAAGACAATTTATATTAACATTACCTTGGGTTTTCTTTCAGTCAAAAATAATAATGCACAATAAAATGAATAGTTGTTTCATTGTGGTATGCCATCTGTTTTAGTAACAAGACCATTTAGACAACGGAGCTCTGCACACGCATACACAATGTGTCAGTGGTGAAGGGAGCTTCAGCTAGGAAACACTTCCCAATATCATATACAGTTGATAAAATGGATCCTCTAGGCCCCCTCACACCCCTGAAATTACCATTTTATAATTACCCTGGGGTAGATTCCTCACATGTACTGTTTGAATCAGAGGCCCAGCAAACCTTGATTTAATTTGGTGAGGCTCAAGTCTTTCAGCAATTACTGACAGCCCACAGGCATCTCTAGACTTTGAGTTCTTCCTCGTATTTAGAAAGCATCTCTTCTTGGTCGGCTACATAGCTGTGAGCCAAGTTGGGCAAATGCAGTAAGAGTCAAAATATTCCCCCCAAATGCCATCATAGAGTTAAAGAACAGGCTGTCTGTCCCTGTGGCTTCTTAAAAAGACACATGGAATCAATGCTGGTATTACTTCCTGCCAAGTTTTGGAACTGAATGTAAATATGAACAGATCACAGATTCCACTATACTGTTTCATATCCATACACAAAACCAAGTTGACGTTGGCTGCATGTCCTAGCCTTTCCACTACAGTGCAACAGGGAAATCTGTCCTTGGAAAAGAACAGTGATCAGTGAAGACATACATTTTCTAATCAATTCCAGTCCAGGGGCACTGACCCTTCATGGCTAAACAGTGTGATTACTCTCATAAATGAGAAAGACACCCAGGGATTGAGTGATTTAAAACAATTAGCAACCAGTTAAATTACACTAAAAAGTTGTCTTGAAGGTCAATTCATTTAGAGTACAGTCTCACAGACATGTAACAAAATAGCACAGGTCCTCTGAAATCGCTAAATATCTGCCCCTGCCCTACCCATTTTACTCCTTTCTGTAAAAATAGCAACTCACGTGATGCTTTCCGCCAGACCATTTGCCATAATGCTCCATCTCTTCGACCAACTCATCACAGGCTCTTTCAGAAAATATAGGAAACCAAAAGACATCTGGACAAGGCTGTAATACAGTGCCATCATAAGAAGACAGAACATCAGAGTAATAGCTCTTGATAGAAATACATTTTTCAAAATCTTCAAATTGTACAACTTCAAATTGTCTAGAAAATGATTTTGCCCCAGTTTAATTGGTAGTGTTTTTTGTTTTCTTCCTCTTGGTGGATAAAATAATGGTGTATAACAGACCAGTTAAAATTTTACTTTCTCAGTGGGAGGTGCCCTAGAACAAACTGGTACAGGAGACTGCTTCCTGAACAACACCCCAGTAGCACAGACACAGAGATCGACAATTAATAAATGGGACCTTCTCAAACTTAGAAGCTTCGGTAAGGCAAAGGACAGAGTTGACAAGACCAAAGGGCAGCTCACAGACTAGGGAAAGATCTTCACCAACCCTACATCTGACAGAGGGCTGATCTCCAAAATATACAAATAACTCAAGTAACTAGTCAACAAAACTCTATTAAAAAATAGGGTACAGAACTAAATAGAGAACTCTCTTAGAGGAAATCAAAAAGGCTGAAAAGACACTTAAAGTGTTCAACATCCTTAGCTACCAGGGAAATGCAAATCCAAACAACTTTGAGATACCATCTTACTTCTGCCAGAATGGCTAAAATTAGAAACTCCAATGACAACTTATGCTGGAGAGGATGTGGAGAAAGGGGAACACGCCTCCACTGCTGGTGGGAGTGCAAACTTGTACAGCCATTTTAGAGATCAGTATGGCAGTTCCTCAGGAAAATGGGAATCAGTCTACCACAGGACCTGGCAATCCCCCTCTTAGGCATATACCTAAATGATCCACATCCACGCAACAAAGACATGTGTTCAACTATGTTCATAACAGCATTATTTGTAATAGCAAGAACATGGAAGCAACCTAGATGCCCCTCAATTGAAAAAATGGATAATGAAAATGTGGCACATTTATACAATAGAATACTATTAAGCAGAAAAAAAAATGGAATCTTGAAATTCGCAGGCAAATGGATGGGACTTGAAAAAACCATCCTGAATGAGGTAACCCAGTCACAAAAAGAGGAACATGGTATGTACTCGCTCATATATGGATTTTTAGACATAGAGCAAAGGATCACCAGCCTACAATTCACACCACCAGAGAAACTAGGATACAAGGAGGATTTTAAGAGATTCATATAAGGTCCCTCACAGAAGGGAAAGGGACAAGATCTCCTAAGCATATAGGGAGTGGGGGGGCAGTGAGTGGAGAGGAAACTAGGAGAAAGAGAAGGGGAGAGGAAAGCACGTGGGACTGGAAGATTGAGCTAGAGGAGGAATAGTTTAAAGAAGAGAGAGAGAGAGAGACCATAAAAGAAGGAGCCATTATAGGTTTGAAGAGAAAACTGAACTTAGAGAAATGTCTGGAGACCTACAAGACTGACCTCAACTAAGAATTTGAGCAACAGTGGAAAGGCTACCATAAATGCCCTTTCCTGATAATGAGACTGATGACTAACTTATCCACCTCATCTAGTAGCTGATGGAAACAGAAGCAGACACCCTCAGCTAAACACTGAGGCAAACTGGAATCCAGATGCAGAGAGGGAAGATAAGGCCAGGTTGCAGAAACACATACAGACAGCTGAACAAGAAGGAGCTAACGGCCCCCCCAGACTGATGGCTGGGAATCCAGCATTAGACTGACTCAGACCTCCTGAACATGGGTCTCAGCTAGAAGGCCTGGGCAGTCTAAGCGACCTCGGACAGTGGAACCAGGATGTATCTCTGGTCCACGAAAGGACTTTGGGAACACATTCCCTATGGAGGGATACTCCCTTAACCTAGAGACAGGAGAGATGGCCTAGTCCCTACTCCAAATGACATGACAGATTTAGATGACCCCTCCTGGAAGGCATCACCCTACAAGTGGTGGTGGGGGGGCATGAGAGGGTGGGAGAGAGGGGAAGAGGGAGGGAGGGAGAGGGAATTGGGATCGATATGTAAAAATAAAAAAATGTAAAAAGAAATTTATCAGAAATGGAGCTGAGTGACAGTTTTGAACATTTAGAAATAGAGTACATTCTAATAGGTCTTTCTAAGTAAAGACTGTTTATGAAAGAGAATCCAGTGTTTTCCAAAGATAAGCTTCCACTGTCAATTATCTACCAATAATAAATAGGCCCTCAGCTTCAGTGGCTGGAGGGAGTGCTGGAGCTTAGCTGCATGCCTATGTTTTTCAAAAGAGTGAGGTCTTAAGGCTAAAGTTGCAAGTTGTAAGTAAACCTCATGAGTTGTACCTAAACAACAATTTCTCCACATTTAAAATTCCTACTAATATACTATTTCTAAAATCAGATTTGGTGGAAATTATAGGAAAACCACTCTAAATGTTACACTTATTAGTACAAACCTGCTCAACTATGTTCTCAGTGAAAATCTTTGAATAATCACGGTTTATATATTTTTCCTTCCAGTCCTAAAAAAAAAAAAAAAAAAAACAAATTTAAACAAATAAATTTTCCATGAATAAGTATATACATCATATAAATTATTCAAATAGCTAATATGTATCAATGTACTGAACAAAATAGTACTTTTCAAAAGGCAGTGTATATTTCAACCTTTAAAAGAAACCTTTTATCTATAAAGTTTGATGTTATTAAAACTGATATTATAATGAACAGATTCATATGCAATATTTAGAATATACACAAGAGAAATTGTGGTGTTTAAACATAAAAAATAGAACTGGGAATGTACTTAGAGTGTTAAGGGTAGGAAAAAACTCCCTGCTTAGGTATAGATCTCACATTCCAATTAGGTTTGGTCATCACTTTAAATGTATTGATGTTAAAGTCCCTAATGTTTTATATCGGGCACTAACATTAACTCTTCACTTGAAAACATCTTTCTAGTCATCGAGTCAAGTATGATCTCATTTATCTTTTAAAAAAAAACTCTGACAATGGGGAAATCGTTAAGTATTCTTCCACAAAACATCTAAAGAAAATATGAAAGAATGAGCAAAACCATGGGAAGGTAAATAGCGTATTAGCTCAGCACTTTCCCCATAACCTCTTGGGAGCTGAGTTCCTACAGGAATATACACAATGCAGCATGCAAACTAAGAGCTCACCCGGTAGCTCATCACCAAGTAATTCTACCCCCACCAGACCACTCAAAAATTCAGAGCCCACCTTAAGTGTGTAGATCCTACCCTCTCCATAAAAAGAAAACCATTTCCAGTTCTCCCTAATTAAAGGTGGACACAGACAGATAAAATGGGACAAAGGCACTTTTAAAATACCAAAAGATGTTCTTTTTTCTATCCAGCAGAGGATTCTGTATTCAAAGTTGCTCTTTTTTGGAATTCTGCTATTTCTGTAAAATCAAAGACTACTCTCATCAGGTGGTCTGCATCTTTGTAATTTAAAACTCACACTTGGCAGGGGGAAGAGATCCTAGAAAGGTAACCAAAATGGCCATTCAAGACAGCTTTCTCAAGCGATTAATGCGCCAACTTTACTGAAGTAAGAGGTCCACATAATTCAGTTCCAAGAGCTATCTGACTCAAATTTCTTCAACTTACTTATACATGCTTACTTATACAGGAGAAAGCTTTACTTAGTATTGTGCTTTGACTATCTTCAGTATATATTTACAAAATTGTCATAACACTTTAATAAGTTGAAAAATAATGGTTATTTTTCCAAGCTAAATTCTTGATATATCTTGATATATGTGGGGAGTGAGGCAGGGGGCAGCTGGAAATGAATCTAATGCATTTTGCATGCTAGAGGGGAGTTTTATGTATTATCTCCAAACTTTATCTTTAGTAACTGAGGTCTTCCCCCACCACAGACTTTGAAAATATCTATGTGACTCATAGTTATTTTTTCTAAAACTATGGTTAAGAACTGGATGGTACTTTTGAATATAGAAAGTAGAAATTTTGAAACAAAGCAAAAACATGGATTTTTTCCTTTTCTTTAAAGTAATGTGTCTTAATTTTAAAATGTTCTTAGCCAAGTTTAGAACTATTGAAATTCATAAAATACAATTATTTTTACTCATTCAAAAATATTTATGTGTTGATACAATTACTCATTTTATATCCTTTTAGAGTGACAGGGAGATAAGCAACAAGGGAGTTGAACATGAACTTACCACAGGGTTTTCAAAAATCTGCCAGAGGTCATTGTTGAAATGGGAGGTATTGTAATTGGCAGTTGACAACAGCCGTCCAAATTCATGTCTGTTAGAAATGTACATAAACATACCCTATGTACCAAAAACAGCAGTATTACTCTCAAAGTACAGGACATTTAACCATGGGGAAAATACACAGAACACATTAATTTTTATATTTAATTAATAAACATGCATTTCAATTTTTCATAAAACCAGTGCATTATATAAAATAAATAAAAATTGTTTAAAAAAAAAACTCAGAAAACACACAAAACTAAGAGCACTAATGGTCAATTGAGAAGAGGGGCGTTTAGGCTGTTTTGTCACTTTTTTAGAGATCCTAGAGAGAGATAGGGAAAAAAAATCTGTTTGAAAGCAGAAATATTTTTCAGACATCCACAGGCAACGATATGCATCTTCTCTTTGGCTTCTTTTCCTTTCAAAGAAACACGTATTTTATGAGAACTTAAGATGTGAGAAGTACATCCCCAGTGCTTAACATTCCTCTGTTGTATTGTTTTAGACCCAACACAATTCTCCAGGCATCTTAAGGCAGTAAAGAGGGAAATCTATTGTTCTTCCCTAAACCAAACAAATATGGCAGATACCCACTGGGCCAAAAATGTCTCTTTGTACCTGTTTGTTGGTAAAAAGATTAGTGACAAGCAACACATCAGTGAGTGCCCAAACCTTATCTCCAAAGGAGATGTATTTCATGTGTACTCCCTTCTGTTCTCCTCAGCACCCCAAAACCCTACAACACTGAGTAAAAGTATGTGAGGTTATTTCTCTCACCTGCTAATTATAAAATGTAAATTACTTCAATGATCCAAGAACTGACCATCAAGCAACACTCCTGCAAAATCCCACAACACTCATACGGACAGATAAAGAGCCCATGAGTACCAACATTTTACAGATCAATGCAAAGGCGATTATTAAGGATACTTTACTGCCACTCAACACTGCATATCTAACATAACTACATAAAGAAAAATAAATAAAAGTAAATAAAAATGACACCTTTGGGGGCCTGAGCATTTGGATTGTTTCCGGAGTAGGGGAGTCTTTTTCCCTTTGTAAGGTCTAAAATGAAGAGAAGCATTGGATCAGTTGATCTGTACACCTATTTGTCAGGCATCGTGGTAAATAAATATAGCAGCTCTGATAAAAAGCTGACATTGTGAAACGTCCTTCTTAGACAACATGCAAAACAAGCAAAGCTTGCAGCGCACACAAAGAACTTCCAGCCTTCCACTGTTTTATTGTAACTTGTTTGGTGAAACACATATCCAAGCTCATTCCTTAGCAAAATTTCATTAGATACAAAATTAAGACAAAGGGAAAAAATGAGCAACAGAGGCCATTCCGGATGTGCTGTTGAGTGAAATCAGCCAAACATGAGCACAAATACAATCGAAGGTACTAAGGGTGTTCAACGAGGATGCACACAGATACACAGGCAATAAACATACTGGAACAACACATGCCTTGTTAAACCAAGAAAAAATACTTGCCAACTTTTCTGATATTCCAAAGGCTATGGCTGCTTATATAAAATTGGGAAATAAAATAATATCTGAAACAAAAAATCTTACAAACATGTTTTCTAAATTAAAACATATTTGTATATAAGTATTTACATTTAATTATAATGTACATTTCTAAAACACTAATGTACCATCAGTTTTTCATGAAGATTAAATATACTATTTCCCTAGATTAGGGGCCCTGCTTTGTGAGAGTATACTGTCAGTAATATTGTAGAGCACACTCAGAAAAAAAGTCACTGACTTCAAAACAAAATTATATGGTTATTGAATGTGTGAGGAACATTTCACTCAAACTAATATTAACTAAACTCAATCTTTTAGTACAATATTTCAGATGTGAATGGATATATATTCTTAAAGTAACAAAGCTTATGAGTCAGGCCTATGCTAAACATTTGAAAACTATGCTATAAATGTTCACAAATTATTTTCAAAAAAAAAAAAAAAGAACCAAAAAAATTGGCTAGTATTTACAAGTAAGGACGAAAAAGGACATCCAAACACAATGACACACAGACTGGAAAAGCAAGCCATCTTGTCAGAAAGTTCAGGCAAGCCATAGCTGTGCATCTTACCATTTCTCTAGCATTTCGACAAAGAGCCATATCAGGATCCAATTTATCACGAACAAAATAGTTCCTTTCACTCATCTCCGATCGGAGTGTCTTTCCTTGAATTAAGTATACATTAGCCATGTATGGGACATTCCAAATTCCTCTGAAAGCAAAAGATACATTCCAAAAATACTACATATACATACAATGTGTTTCGTGTTTACATTTAAAAATAAATGCTTTGTATATGTGCAAGTTGGGCATATATAAATTGTTCAGTCCAGTAAAACATACGATATTTTATAAATATGAAATGTTTTGGTATACATATATCCTAATGAGGTTTAGGAGAAATTATTGTCTCTAGATTTAATTTAGATTGTGCCTGGCTGGGGGAGCTCTTCTGTCACCATTGTTGCAGTTAGGTCATGGTAGTCTACTGTACAGAGTATTTTCTGTTTAATTGCAAACATCTGATAGCAAAAGCACTAATACACTGAATCAGAGGTGTTCTGGCCCTAACATTAGCAACAAGACTTCACTAGAAACAAATCAGCCATAGAAGAAGTGTTTATATTACAGAACTTTGAAAACTCTAAAATTGAGAGTATTCCTCCTACCATGGGATGGATGGATATATGTATGTATGTATGTATATGTATATATGTATATATATATAATATATATATTAAATTCATTGAATTATTTAAATCTGTGTGGAGAAAAGAGGAGACATGAGGAAATAACACAGCTGGAAGTGTATGTGTTGGCATACTGCTCATTTTTTCACCATCCCCATCCCCACCCCGGGAGAACTTCTGCTATCTGGGAGGTACCAACCTAAAGACCCGTGTCTGTCTCTTTGGAAAACAGAAAGGGAAAATCTTGACCAAGGAAATGTAGAAAGACATCATCTTGTATTTCTTAGATGAGAAAATACAAAACAATCAATAGGCATTTAGCCCCATCGTATTTGTCAGGCAAATCCAAACATGAATGGTGATGGTATGCCCAATGTTTCTCTCTAAGGGAATGCAGATGTGTTCACTCCCTCCTGTTCACTAACTGATGAAGGCCCCTACCACCCTCTTTATCCTGTGGTTACCATCAGGCAGGAAAGCGCTGTGTGTAACACAACGACAACTTATTACAATAAATGCAAATGCACTGCCCTGCACTTGACAGCCTTCATTTCCATGGCAGTTTCGCACACAAGACCTACGTACATCATGTTAGAGTCAATAAAAGTGGTTGAAATAATAAAGAATGAATACTGATTTCTTACCTACCATGTAAGCAGCTAACAACAACAACAGAACACTTTATCATAGCTACATCATTCACATGTAAAGCTCCCACAGAATCATTAGTTTTCAGAAGGAAAGTACCTCCCCACCATCCACCACCTAAAGGAAAATACAATGTATTTAACCTATGAGCACATCTTTCTAGAGGTCACAAAATATTCCACTTTTCAACTGAGCTGATGAGTTGGATAATTAAGACAAACCTATAGCCTACCATCTGGAAAAAAGAGACACATTCTTGCCTAGTATTTCCTTAACAAAACTCTCTTGATATTTGAGTGACTTTTTTTTTTTTTTCAATTTAGAAAGTATCAACTATCACCTAGGAAGCAAATATTACTTGTACACATATTTTGTTGCACATGCAGTTTTAAAATCATCTAAAAGATGGCAATCAAATATCAAGGAATTTCCTATTTTTTTATGTATACAACTGGACACTACACACAGAAATGACAAAAGAAACAAAAAGCTACACAATCACAAACAAAATCACCTCATGCAACTGGGACTGTTGTATTATTATTTCTGTATTTATGAATTTTAAAGGCAACCTAGACAACTTAATCGGAGCTATTAAATGAATTAGCTAAACTAAACTGCCTTTCTCAACTTTTAGGAAAGAGCTCTACTCCTCTCTACTACTACATGGGCACCAGTGGCAACCAAGTATTATCACACAGCAATGAGGTTGTCCCACTAATGATATATATATTGTTTTACATCCTGTTAATGATATATCAATATATATACATACATACATTCATATGTATATATATATACTGTTTTATATTTTATTTCAATACCCTAAGTGAGCTCCAAGTTCTCAAATTCACACTAAGCAAAATGAAAAGAGATAAAGATGATTATCAAATAATATTAGTAAGATCCAATCTTTATGATACTGTACATGGAAAGGTTAAATCAAGTAACTCACACTCTCTTCCCCTGAACGATATCCACATAATCTTCAGAGCGCGCATAGTATCCATCAGGACTCAATGCTCCCCAGAAGTTGGACCACAACTTTCCATGACGCGTCACCAGAGGAGCAATGATCTTCCTAGGAGAGGGAAACCACAACACTATTAATCTTTATCAGAATTGTATATTTTATAAGATACACAACGCAGTGAAGTCCATTTAATATATTATTTGTGTATGTATATACATACAAATGTATATATATGTATTAAATATTACACAAAAAAATTTAAAATCCCAACATCTTTTCTTCCATGGATACACTGAAAATTTTCTTTCAATTCTGTTAATCAAAAGGAGCAAAACAAGGGAAACATTTATTGAAAATACTAACAACATATTGAGTTAACTTTTTAACAAGAAATACAAATATTCCTTGTATTTAAATTAATTTCAAGTAAATCAGGCAAAGTGAACACTCTCTGCTGTATTAAGGTAGCCAATGAATATTTGTTGAATGAAAAACAACACATGCAGATGGGCTGAGACACTGAAGACATGTGTTCCTAAAACAAATCTTAATCACTTTACCATCTGTCTCCAGTATTTATGACTTTCTAAGCTGGGTTGTAGTTGTAAGCTGGCCTTGTAGCAATGGCTACATCAGCCTGCACTTCACAAAACAAAACAGAGCCGCTCATCTGGAACTGAAAGTCCCCAGGAAACTAGACTTTAAATCGACTTGCTACCCTGATGGTGCTGAGAGAAGGGACTTTGTGAGGTCACAAGCCTGAAGTCCAGAGAAGGTTATAAAAGAGTAGGGACCTCGAAACTCATTTCTTCCCTCACTCGGCACTTCCTGTTCTTACTGTCTCATCTTGTCCCTGCTCTCCTCATGATGTATCTGGGAACGTTACACAGCAGCCAGGCAGCCTTGCAGCAGCCCTGCATGTCATGTAAACCACCCAGGATCTGGTCTATGAGCCAATGAACTTGTGATGTTTATAATTTACCCAACTGGTAGCTTTTTGTTAAAGCCATAGCAAACAGATAATATGCAGTTTTAATAACTATTTGGAAAGTGATCCCATTACACAAACACAGTACAAATTTGAAATATGTCAGGTTTTCCCATTGGAGATCTTATTTATAATATCAAGATTTTCCAAATGAGTGAAAAGTCTGATGTTCCTCTACAATCACTTTTACACTGTAGTGCCCACCAAGATTTTTGTTTTAACTTTCTCATTTACTAAACACTGGCCAGAAGCACATGGATCTGTACTGTAGAATAACTACAGCACTAGAAATAAAGGTATAAATTAGCTTTTATGGTATTCGGGGAATGATGTTTCAATGTCCACAACTGACATTAAATTGTAATTTATAATCTCAGTGTCTCCTGAAGCAGAATTACAAACTTCCTATATAATGTTACTTAACATAGTGAAGCCATACTAACATTGTTAGCTCCTACATCTTCTTTTTATATGAGAAACATTGTGTTAATGTAGATAAATAGTACATGTGAGCGATGAGGAACAGTGAATAGCAAGAGAATCAGTAGTAGCTGCAGTATATATAACAAGTGGGATTAAGAGCCTTATAACTAGATATCCACAATGTCTTTATTCCATTTCAGTTTAAGTCAGTGAGAACAGGGGCTCAGTAACATTCAGTACAACAGTAAATGCAATTACTGGTTGTGACATGATCAGTATATCTGAAATGTCTGATTTTAAAACTATAACTCTATGAAGTAACTGATAGTTTTATTAAAGCCTATACTTAAAATATTTATGGATGATGAAAAAATTGAAAATTTACCAGTATCAGAAACATTGATAATATAATTAAACTTAGCTTTAAAGAGAAAAATAGACCAAATAACATTAACTGCTACTGTTTGACTGTAAGAATTATCGAACACTTTCATTTCTAAGATTGCTAGTACAACACTTAGTACTGGGAGCTTACAACATGTAGAAGATAGTTGAATATGATCTACCTCAATTTATTACACAGTTAAGTATTGTGCCCACATAGATGTGGAAAATTATCATATTATTAATGAATTCATGCTAAATTGTAGTACCTGTTTTGTTCAATCAAAATTTTTAAAGTTCTCGGGTTTGTCAAAACAACATCTGCATCCACACTAAAGTAGTAATCACACTTTTCATCTTGACGGCAGAAATCCCTGGTATTGAGAAGGAAAATAAAATTAGCATTAGATAAAACTCCCTGCTTGGAAATATTAGCATAAAGCAACCATAAATGGGAAAGTTCTGATGTATTTTCCAATAAAAAAAAAATGCCTTGATACTGAAAATGACTAATCATCAACATATACACCCATAGTAGACATCACTACAATTTTAGGCCAAGTGAGATATATATTTTAAGTCACTAAATATTTTAAGCCTAAAAACTTTTAGGAGTCACAGGGATGGCTCAGTATATGATAGTGTTTGCTGTGCAAGCATAAGGACTTATGACCCAGATCCATAGTAAAAGCCCGTCACTCTAATACTGCAGGGTCATAGACAGAGGTGGGTGGTTAGGACTGACTGTCCTTCAGTCTGGTTCCAGGGAAGTGAAAGATGACAGCTGTCTCAAGGGAATAAGGTGGATATTTGATAGACACAGACATCTCAGGCCCTATTCTGGCTTCTGCACATGATAGGTGCACAAGGTATACACAAACATACACTGCACATGCAAAACATCTGGAAATAATGGGAATTTGTGAAATACGTTTCCTGAAGGAAGAAATAACTTACCCCAATTTATCTATATTTTAAATTACTTTTATACACAAACACGAAGATACACAAAATGAAATACTCTATCATCAATAATTGGGATCTTAGGGGTTTGAGATACCTTTGTGGTGTTTGTGTGTGTGTGGTGATTAAGATTAATCCTAGCCTACACATACTAAGACACACAACTATGTTTGAAAGGAATTATGTAGATAAAGGCACCTTAAGTATTTTACACTTGATGCATAGAGTGCTTTTTAAGACACTTATGTCCAACCCACTCACTGGAAAATGCTGGCTCACATGATTTTCCAGGAGAGACCGCAGTGTTTTCAACAGGACATCAAGGACTAAGCCACTAGTGATACCATGATGAGCTATGAAATCGCCCATATGCTATGGCTTCTGCATTTAGGATTCTCTTGCCCGCTTCATCTTTCCAGCCTCACAGCTGGCTCAGCTGGCCACTTCCTACTTTTAAGAACACTTTTTAAAACTAGCTACCAAGCAGGACAGGTGATGGGAAATTTTACAGCAGTTAAAATCATAAGAGAGAAAAAAATCCTGAGTGGGGACTCAAGGGATTGCCCAATAAATGAGTTAGGGCTATAATCATTTCTGATTATGCTAAAGCCCTTCCCAAGAAGAGACCCTAGCAGTGAGCTGGACTGGCACAGGGCATAAGAGTCAGCACAATAGCCTTGCCTTTTCACAAGCAGCTTTCAACATGTGGTCTTGAGTGTCAACCTGGCATTCACTGAACTGTTCACACAATTGTTCAGTAAGCAGAGTTTTACAAGCACCCTATTGGAAGTTTTACAGGACCAAAAGCCAGCTCTTTCTGGTGTAGAGTATTAGCGATGTCAAGGAGGAAGACACATATTCTCCGCAGGAGCTTTAACTACACAACCTTTGGATGGTGAATTTAAATGTAAGACATCCACTATTACAGTCATAATATTATTTATCTGTTTTGTTTAAATCTTTATCCAAAGTTGAATTCATAACCTGATTAAATATTTTGACTCAGATTAGAGAAAAATATAAGTGACTTCCACACAACTCCTGAACTGACTCCTGCATCTGCATCTATGACACATACATGCAAAGTGGTGCCTTGGGACTTTAATGGAATAATTCGGGAGAAATATTTTCTTGACGTTCATCTACTAGAATAATTTAATATATGTTATTCAGACATACATCCCCATGTTTCTGGCTTCTGCTTGACTTAGATTTTCTTCTGGTCCTACTATTTTGATGGTGCTGATCTCATGCTTGGCTTTATCAAAAAACACTTTGATGTCCTTTTCATGATAGACTTCCTGTAACAAATTTTAAATATAAAAAATGAGTGAGGAAACAGACTCTGAATTGTTCATTAAAAACAATGCTTCATACTCAAAGTGTGAATTATATAATTTAGTTGAAAAAAATCACACAAAGAACATAAAATAGATTTGTATCAATACCCAAAAGGAGTAGCTGTTTTAAAATTATTTCAGTATTTACTCATAGGTCAAGTCCTGCAATAATACTTAAACCCTAGTCATTAAAGAGAATTCTAACTGAAGGGGGGGAAATTTTGCTGCCTAAGAACCTTAGATATTTGCCATAAAAAATCCAGAAAAGAGGTTTATTAAATGTAATAGATAATAATCTGTTATGTATATAAACAGCCTCATTGTACAAGATAAAATTTAACAATAATCCTTGAAGCCAAAGAGTGCAATTAATGACAACATAAAAAATTGTCTTTAGACAAAAAGACTATTTAACAAATTCATATTGATAGATAGCCAGCTGCTAGTGTAAAACCACCAATTTAAAATGATTCATAATTCAGCAGTACTGAAGTTCAGGAAGATTCCTTCTCTAGCACCAGTGTGTGAGAAGTTTTTTTTTATGCATCACATCTCACTCTGTCTCTCAAAAGTGCTGTCACAGCATGGTAAGGTCAGCTATCACATAAGACCGCAGGACAGAGCCATAAAAAGAATGATAAAAACTGAAGGTAAGGAATTTAAGGCCATTTGAAAGCAGGTAAAAGGGCAACAGAAAGCACAATACCACGAATGTAAAAGTGCTTGAGTTAAGTATCTATATTATGATTAATTTTGGACAGCAAATGTCTGATATTTATTCTTTGAACTTGTTAAAAGTGGGTTTCTGAAATTTGAAAAAGTCTCTGGAAAAAAAATGAATGATTATAAGACATACCAAAAAATAATAGTTAAACAAAAGCCTATTACCACAAAAGCAGAAAACAGTAAGCTTTGTGGCTATCACCTGAGAAAGAAATAAAAACAAATACTGACAGAACTGACTTATGTTTGAATATTTTGTGTTTGGGAGGATCTGAAGGTACTGTAATAAATAAAAATATCGAGTTTCTGTGGTAAGGAGCATGCCACTTTGAGACAGATGAGAGGGTGTCAGTTCTGATGCTATGGTATTATTGCTGGAAAAATCATCAACGGCTAGTCTATAAAAGCCCCAAAGTCACCCAATGCAAAGGAACAGGCTCTTCTGCACACCCTCATTAATTGTGCTGACAAACTGTGAAAATGGCTAATACTCAGCCATTCTGAGCTACAGAAACTGTCAGTTTCAAGTGGCTCAGCCTAATATTAGATTAAATTTTCAATTCTTAACTCACGACAGAAGTAAAACATTCTATCTATTTGGTTTTTTGTTGCAAGAGGAGTTGCTTCAAAAAAAAAAAAAAAAAAAAAAAAAAAAAAGTCCCCATATGCAACCCTCAAGACCAAAATACTTACTTTGTTATGAATGAAGAGTTTAAGTGCTTCTTTGGGATAATCCAGTGATAACAGTAAGTCCAGGAATCGAGGTAAAAAGGGGGTTGGTTGTTCAATAAAAACACCTATTGTTACCTTTGGATGAACCTAAGTTTTATAGCAAACACAAAAGCAAAATATGATCAGTAAGCTCTGTTCAAATCTTAGCTACTATCACACTGGAGGGAGGGGGTCACAACAGCAGCAAAACAAAACCAAGAAAAGACTTTCAACAGACAGACTTTCTCATCAGCATAATCATGAAACTGGCATCAACCACAGATAGCCCTCTGACACTGCAAGTCAATGTCTATGAAGCCAATCAAAGTGACTTTATTGAATTACCCTTTTCTTGTAACTTGGATTTATAACTCAAAGTTATTACCCTATTCACCATACGGATGACACAACCTACGTAACTGGTCTACTTCCTTCAGGGCTCCTCTCAAAGAAGCCAAACTCTGTTTTGAAAAATTCTATAAAAACCACAGAGTTAGGTTAGGGATGCTGCTGACTGGTAGAGTGCCTATCTCCAGGCATGGAGGAAGGAGAGAGACAGGAGACAGGAAAAAGGAAAGGGGGTGTGGGATGGAGAAGAAGAGGGAGGAGGGAGAGGAATGATCTAATCTTAATAATAGGCTTTGTTGTTTTTACTTTCTTTTGGCATATTACTCCATGTAAGAAAAACTACTTTCTCTCAGTAATACATTATCTTAATGCAAATTTTGTATACATTTTCCTAAATCCACTTTAAGCATGTCTTAGGGGTAGTATCCTGTTATTTTTTTCATATAAAATATCTGGAATACACATTGACCATGGCAGTCTTTGGGATGGGTGGTGTTTTAGCAAAGGGAATAGAAGCTCCTGGTTGAAAGGGTTACAATTAAAGTAGTAAACAGGCTTACAAGTGAGTTCCTATGCAATGGGACTAAAGCCAGAGCTATGTGAGGTCTTCATGGGGCCCAAACATGCTTAGCAAGCTCACCACCACTGAACTAGAAACTCAGACCCAGAAATACAAATGTATTTTAATCCCACACATGTTAAGTCTTGAATTGGTTATGTCTTCCCATCTCTTCCCACATATCCCTCCATTATCTGGATATGTGAACATCTGTTTGCAAGGAAGAATGCCTGTCCACTGTGCTCTGTCAGTTCACTGGCCCAAACGCTGAGTGCTAAATGAGTAAATAAATGCAAAGAACTGGGAACAGTGCACCTACCCTCTAGGAGTTTTCAGTTTAATGGAATAAGAGTCAAGAGTAGGTCACGATCTTCTCTTATGTGTTTAATTCACATAACCTAATTGCCTTAGAAGTTAACCACCTCACATTTATACACAAGCAAGAAAGAACTCAGAGGAGTAATTCAGAGACATTGCATGCTTCTATTTTAGTTTTTTAAAAGTAATAGTGACACAAGAGTTAAATATTTATTAAACTAATTTATCTATTAAATTAAAAATATTTCTAAAATATGCACGTAAAGGGCCAGCAAGATGACTCAGTACGGTGTTTGCCAACAAGCCTATCAGTCTGACCCACAGGACTCACACAGTAAGAGAAGCAACTATTGCAAACTGTCCTCTGACCTCCTCCACACATGCAGACAGAATGTGCACCCTAACATGTACATAAACGCATGCACAAACATAGCATAAGTGAATAAAAATGTAATAAAAAATTAATTCTACCCAATAAGAAAATGCCATGGCCCACGTCTAAACACATGCTGTATCTGAGGTCTTAACTCCTACAAATGTTTCATTTCTATGTTCCTATTGCATGACTACTATGTTTTGAAAACCACAGACTTTTATTATACCTAGGAATAAGTTGTTTTTCCTTTCTAGCACATTTTGTAAGTCAAACATTGTTACAGAGCAAATTATTTATATTCAAAAAACATTATTTATACGCTGAATAAAAACTTCAACACTAGTATTTTATCCTTGAACCAGAAAGTTTAAACTAGAAGGGAAAATCCAAACAGAAGGAATTGCTTCTCCTTCCAGAGGACAACACCATTTTCTGCAAAAAGCATCAAGACAAGTGTTTAACCATCTCCATGGTGCAGATTCATTCAGAACTGTTCTGGCTCTCTTTCCAGATAGGAAACATTTAGTTTGTTGCTTCAAAGTCTGGCCAAAAAAACTGCTTATTTTTAAGTGACATAGAGCTCTCTTTAGAAGTTACTAAGTGTAGACAATTCACTTCCTATTCTCCCTTCAGACAGTGATGAGAAAGGAAGCATTGGTTTTGGGGAACCCAGTGCTCTGTGCTGTGGGACCCTTCCGCTCTACAGTCACACATGTCTCAGGGGACTCTGCTTTTGCCAACGCTGCCCTGCCTTCTCTGGCATGCTGTAGGTGCTCAGTCCACTTACGGCAAATGAGGTCAACTTTCAGCTGCTAATGCTTTCAAAACAATTCAAAAGTATAGGCTTCTAGATTTTCTAAGCCACTGTACTTTTTACATTATAAATCTGTTGTCAAATATACAATGGAAACTATAGAACAATTTGCCTTTTTTCACTGCGTTTCATGACAGTGTAGATTTTTGATACAAGTACACAAATGCCACTTACATCTACTGCAGACAAGTCAACTGTGTCAAAGTCACAAAGAGCACAGCCATTTTCCTGTGTCCATGAATTGGGAACATAGTTTCCAAAGTAATTCAGGAGAATCTAATGAATGTAGGAAAAAACAGATGAACAGAAGCAGTCCATACGCACCAAGTTCTCACTATCTAATCAATAGTTTCCCAGAATTCTGTGTGTGCCTGGTACAATCCCCTAATCACATTAACATGTATCACCAACATAAACACATTAAACAAAATTTTCTTTAGATGATGAATCATTAAGTGCTACAAACTACAACTAGAAATTTCCAAGTAGTTATAAAAATTGCAGGTCATATTATTTGATATAATTTGATATATAGAATAATATTAGAAATTACCACTGTAAAAAAAAATAGGCCAAACAAAGTTTTAAAGGAACAGATAACGGCATCTAGACAAACCACCATGAATCCTGTGTGCAGTAATAAGATCAATGTGTTTAAATGTTCAGCACAGACCCCTGCAGTAAATGGGGCAGGAGTAATGTGATCTCTCACCAACACATCACACTAAACAAAGAGTGAGGCCACTCCTTCACCCAAGAACATTAAGTCATTTCTACAGACACATCTGTCAGCCAGGCTTTAAAACAGTCACTGCAAGAACCAAGGAGAAGCGGAAGTGTAAGCTGCTTACCCATCTGCCAGGGTACCTCCTCCCTGACCGCCCCTCTCTTCTCAGTATCTACTGGGATTCATCTCATTTTTGTATAACTGTGATTTATGTTCTGAACTATTGTCAGTAAGGTGAGGAAGATACCAAAAGAAACAAGCACACTACCATTCCGTTTCAGCATTCAAAATAACTTGAAACTCTCTGAAACTGGGACATTGCAGAAGATATTCATTCTCCAGAGGTAAAGGTAACAAAGTGACTAGAACATCTGCAATCTTGATATCACACAGTGTCTGTTGTAAACTAGCATTACCATTGTAAGAACATACTCAAATCCTCATTATGCTTACATAGTCATGGTTTTTAGCTTGTTTGTTTTCGTTTTTGTTTTACGACAGGGTTTCAGGGCTGTCCTGGAACTGCTTTGTAGGCCAGTCTGCCCTAGCACCTGCAGGGTTCCACCTGCTCCCCCTCCCCAGGTGTTTGGATTAAAGGCTTGCCGCCACCTCTACCACCACCGGCTAATCATGTTTTGTTGTTGTTTTATTTTTCGAACAGGCAAAAGGAAGGTACTTGATGGAGAAAGGCAAACATATTAAAGATAGATGTGGAAGCACATAAAGGAGCGCTTACAAGACATTTCCAACTTCTTAAGACCCTAAAGTACAGCAGAGGAGGGGGCTACCCAGTCCTTTTACCAGAGTCCTTCCCCAGTTCTGTGCAAGTATTTCTACTGCACAGAAACTTCAGTTAGAAGGTAGGGGAACCAGGAAGCTATGCATTAGCATAGGAAAGCCCTTGCGCTGCCAGATTCTGTAAACATGGATACACTGACCCTCTGCAAACCTAAGACACAGGCAAGTACCACAAGGACAATTGCTTTGGATGATGTGGTAACTCAGAAGTCAGAAACGACACGGTCATGACAGTCATTATAACATTTCAAGAGTCATTATTTTTGAGCATGGTCATGTACACCTTTAATCTCAAAACTCCAGAGGTAAAGGCAGATGGATCTCTTTGAGTTCAAAGTCAGGGCATTCTACAAGTTGAGGTCATGCTAGTCAGGACTACAGAGTGACATGCTCTCAAACTGGGATAGGGAACAATGGTGGCACTGAAAAATTCATAAGAAGACACAGGAAGTACTTCTGATTGCCGGATAACAAAAGTGAGCATTAAAATAAGACACGGGCTGGGCGGTGGTGATGCACACCTTTAATCCCAGCACTCACTCGGGAGGCAGAGACAGGCCGATCCCTGTATGTTTGAGGCTAGCCTGATCTACAGAGTGAGTGTCAGGATTGGGTCCAAAGCTACACAGAGGAACCCTGTTTTGAAAAACGTAAAAAAATAAAATAAATGATTATACAAAAACGTGCCCCTTAATAGAATTTACTTTGAAGGGACACAAAGAATACAAATCATGAAATACATGACCTTCATTAGAATATCCTTGAAAATAATTTTAAAGGAAGGTAAAAGTCTCTGAAATTACTGGACACATTTAAAATCCTCACAACATATAAGGGCTGATAACTTTCCTACTTAGAAATACCATAAAAATTCAATATTTATGCCATGAACTAGTGTACTACATTCTCTGGTATGAGTATGAAAATGAAAATGGTTAATAGTCCTAAGGAGTAAAGTACAAAGTGGCTAACTTCAAGTTTTGAGAGATAAAATTTGATTTTGTAACTTTCCACCTTCTGCCCTTTGTTTCCAGAGTAATTAAAATATTGGGAAACAGTACCTTTGATGGGAAATGTCCTTGTATTTGTCATCCATGGCAGAGATTACCCATCCCCTCCCAGTTCACATACATCAGGGCATCTGTTTTCCCCATAACATCTGTGAATGTCTCTGCTGGCTGCTGTGGAAGGTGTGGAAAACAGCTTACGGGGCGAGGCTGTCTTGGGCTCCAGAGCACCGGGTGCTAGCATTTTCCCAAACCCTCTTCCAAGCTCCAAATATGACATCATCTGCACAGAGAGCCTACTCCCACCCCGTCTAGCTATTAATCAAGGTCATCTCTACTAATCACTATGATTTTGGGGCATGGAATAAGGTCACTCTTGTTATTATAAATCAAATTAGTCAAAGAAATTACTTCTTTTTATGTGCAACACAGGTGATTATTCTAAGATCTCTGAACAATTGGGAGAATACAGCTTATTTTCCAGTCCTCTGGCCTTTACTGTTCCTAAAAAAAGTAGACATTAAAGTCAAGTATCCATCTATAGAATAAAAGGTTTATTTTAAATTGATGCTATACTGCATAAAAGACAATGTAAATAAACTGTTCACACTCAAGTTTTTCAAAGAATATTTTTAAAAAGATGATGGCCCTCCCATATTGCTCCATAGTCCAACTCTGAGAACCAGACAACAAACTAAAGGGCACAGCTACTCACTTTGGTGGGCCCGTTTCCGTTAATTAACACTGGCAATGTTTCATAAAATGTATTCTTCACTCTGCTTTTACCATTTTCAAATTTTAAAACCACTTCATCTGGGTTAAAAAGAGAAACATTTTTGTTAACTTCGAACATTTGTAGGTCTATAGATTTCCAAGACACCCAATCTCATTTCTCAATGCATAGAAACTATCTTCCCCAAGACAAGAGTTAGCAAAATCGAAGGACAGTGTGGACAATCACAGGCTGACTTCCAACTAAATGCCTGAGCACTAAGCCAGGTTGTCAAATGCTTGGTTGGTCCCTGAGCTGTTTCCTAGCAGTGTGGTTCCAGCTGGATTCACTATCACAACTTGTCCACCTGAAGTGGACCCAGATTGGCCTTGAAGGCTTATTCTAGAAACAGCAAGCAGTATGTGTATGGTAAAGGCACATTGTCTGGAATAAGCAAGACTTTCCCAGCTGACCAGCCATCTGATAGCTGTACAGCTCTCAAATGGCCTTCTGTGAAGATTCAAAAATACAGAGTACCATGAGAGATGTTGTGTTTGTATATCAGCTTCTTTCCTCACTACATATCTTCTATCTAATTGCTCTATGGACAGCAACATGAACTGGACAGAATTATAACATATTCTTAATTTTTAAAATAACCTGCATTAATAGATAAAATACTGATATTTACTATATAGATTAATGCACTAATGTGTCATACCACAGTATGTGTATTTCTAAATAAATAACAATATCAAGGATATTCACAAGTATGTACATGGGCAATCGCTATGTAGATGTACTCACATATGCAGGGGTGCACATGTTCTGTGTGTGGACTCACAAGTATGCAAGCGTGTGTACAAGTTCTGCTTGAGTAATCACAAATGTGCAGTTGTGTGCACACAATGTATGTTTACTTGTAAGTATACAGGCATACTCACATGTTTTGTGAGTCAGTACTTAAAAGTGTACATCTATACATACATGCTATGTGTGCACTCATGTGCAAGTATATATTCATGTGCACACACACTATATATACACTCACAAGTATGAAAATATGCTTGGTTTTGTAGTCACAAGTATACATGTGTGCCCATATGCTCTGTAAGAGTGTACTCACATATGTTCTGGTGTGTATACATTCTTTGTGAGTATACTCATACATGGAGGTATATGCATATTTTGTTTATATACTCAAAAGTGTGAAGGTGTTATGCACAAACACTAACATGTGTAGGTAGGTGTGAGTGCATACTGTTAGAATGTACTCACTTGTGTGTCAGTGTGGACACATACTCTGAGTATACTCACACAAGTTCATGTGTGTACACATGCTTTTCACATGTACTCACAAGTGTGTTGGTGTGTATATGCTCTTTGTATATACTCATAAGGGCATACGTGAGTGAGAATGTTCTGTAGGAGTTTACTCACATATGCTGGTGTGCACATGTGCTCCCTGTAGGAGTTTATTCATAAGTGTGCATCTATGAGCACATGCTGTTCTCACAAGTGTGCAGATGTACTCAAATATGTGCCCACACTGCAGATAGGCCTAAGTGTGTAGGGTGGATATGCACTCTGTAGGATGGAGTGTACTCTTAGTAAAGGATTTTTGTGGATTATGTGGAAACATCAAGTAAAGTTCAGTATTTGATTTTTTTTTTTTTTTAACATTTTAAAAGTTGCCATCTTGGTCAAAGCCTCAAATGGTCTAATACAGGAGAGAATGCTGAAAACGGGCATTTTGTGAGTAGAAGTATGGGCATCTGTACCTGTAGCTCCATTCAGGGCCTGGAAAATTTTGCATTTGTGATCCAACGTGATGTTAAAAGCTTCCTTAAAAATTAAAAAAAAAAAAAAAAAAAAGGAAAATAGGTTAACATTGAAAACTACAACAGAAAACAGAAACAGTCAACACAGTCATATTAATCAATGTATCTTTGGGGGAATTTACAGATCAAAATACTTGTTCAGTGTATTAATGAAAATATTCAGCGATCTAAAGACAGACACCACAGCAGCTGCAAACACCGTGGAACACACACACATAGACCTTGCTTCCCTGGTGACAGTGTGTAGAACTCACAGTTCAAGAAACATTACAGTTGCATCTATGGTGCACCTAAGATGCACAAACTGTTACTTCCTATTATTTAAACACATTTTTGTTTTCAAATTAGTTTGTTCTTTTCCTGAATTGAAAATTAAATCAATTTTACAAATTTTCTCTATCAAGTCTGTGGCAGATCTTTTCTAGCAATCCCCAGATTTTCAGCATGGCCCATGTATTTGAAAAAGCATGAAATTCCATTTATGTGTTACATGCAGTTACATGATATGCTGTCAAAGAAAAGTAAATGCACTTCCTGACCCTTTCTGAAAGGCTAGCTAAGGAGTGTGCACAAATTTAAATGGTACTTAAAAAAAAAAAAAAAAAAACTATTCTGCATTTTATGTGTCTAGACTATGGTTGTGATGACTGGGCCTCCAGTAGTCATTCTGGCTACAGAGAACATGCTGAAAATATGCAACTCCAGACCACATATGAAGCAGCGAAGCACCACCATGCTTTTCATATGTAAGAAGGAGAAAATAAACATACAGACAAACATCTACCATATTTAACACACTACTATTTTTAGTTATTTTATTTGTAATCAATTATAGTGTTTTCATTAGGAAATAAGGCTGTCTCTGGCCCCTAGAATCTCAGGCCACAACCTCTGGAATTTCACTATCTACTCATTGCATGATTTATACTCTAAAGCACTGTTTTTTCTGCTCCCCCTTTTTTGGCCAGTATGTACATGGGGGGGGGGGGTGCGTGCGTGTGTGCGTGTGTGTGCGTGCGTGTGTGTAACCCTGAGTATAAATGTCTGTGGAAGCCAGAAGTAGACACTGAGTATCTTTCTGAATTGCTCTCCACCTTATATGGGGCAAGGTCTCTCATTTAAATCTGGAGCTCACCAGTTCAGCTAATCTAGCCAGCCAGCTTTCTCCAGGGACCTCCAGCCTGTTTCTCAGAACTGAGAGTGCAGGTGAGCCTGCTTGGCACTTATGTGGTACTGAGGATCCCAACTTGGTCTTCAAGCTGACAAGGTGTGTGTTTTACCCATTCAGCCACTTGCTCAGCCCCTTTACAAACATTCTGAGTCCTCTAGTTGGCTATAAATATATAAGATCTATCTTCACAGCACCATGTCCTGCAATGTATCTTCAATACCAGCCACTTGGACAATGGTGAGGCACCTCCAACCTCCAAAGAATGAATCTTACAGAGATGTCCATTCCAGTGTGACAAACTCTTTTTGAGTGGGCTTATCCATGTCATTTCAAAATATTGCCAGGTACAGTGGTAGACTTTTGAAAGTGCTGCTGTTTATTATCATGTCTCCATGATTGACGGCTGCTCCAAATTTGACATCGTTGTCTGGTATTGCTTTTGGTCTCCAGGCTCAGAAACTTTACTCACCCTATTCATTCTGATATTGAGAGCCCTGGCACTGAGTATACAGCAACTGAGGCTGCACATTGGTAGAGGCTGGCTCTGAATTTTCTAGTCATCTGATGTGTGTTTCCACATAATAAGGCAACTAACAGGGTCTTAAATCTACCTTCCCCCTCTAATGAACCTAAACTGGGCAAGATTTTTGACTTGGCCACTGAGAGATATAGTGACAAAGAGTTCTCATAGCCAAAGAAGGAAGACAAAAGTCTGCTTGTTCCACAGATTTGCACTATTTCAGCTGTGATAATAACAAAAAAATAATTTGCAATTCAGATTCCCAAAACTCTTTTGTTTATGACCACTTCACTGAGGAAAACATTAAAAAAAAAAAAATCAAAGTAACCAAAACAGAAAAAGAGGAATTGCAAGCTGTTCCTCACCCTCTTTACTGGATCGATGTAAACTTTAGTGTAAAAGAGCTGATCATCATCATTATCCTGCAGATTCCACTCCTGGACCAAATGGCTGATGTATGGAGCATAGCCAATAAAGCCTGCAACACACAAACACAGCTGAGCGCTCAGGATTCGAAGACCTAAATGCTTGTCAATGTTAGCTCCATTGAAAAGCTGACAAAGTTGGAAAGTCAAGAGGTCCAACTTTTATATATGTATACTATAATGGAGAAACACTACTAATTACAACACAAAGCAAAACACTCAAAAGTGCTTTTAAATATGCATCCCTAAGAACTTACTTTTGCAAGGTTACTAAGGGAAGGCTAACTAGGGACAGAGCAGAGTATGATGGAATTCCTCTCAACCTAGTGAATTGCTCTTCTTGAACCCACTGACAAGGAACCACTATTTCTGAATGAACGAAATGTCTCCTGCTGCGCCAAGATTCCAATGTAGGCAAAGAATGTGGGTTGTCACCAACTACAAAAACCCTGAAGAAATTTTCTATCTAGGGAATTTGGGGAATGTTTTCCATCACTTGAAACCAGTCTTACTGTGCCTGGTAAACCATTTTTCTGGCTAGAAATTATATGTCATTGTCTGGAAAAAGGAAGTCTAAAATTGGAGTGTTCCCCTTGGCCTTCGAGCCTACGTGATAAATCTGCCAGCGGCATGTATCTCTGAAGACAGAGACAACAGGATCATTTTCACATCTTCCCCTGAATTTCAGACACGCAGCCCACTGCTCTGCTTCATTGACAGACAACACTCACCACACACAGATCAAACCCGCCTGTTTGTATGTGAGCCTTGTGTGTGCAGGTGCTCACATAGGTCAGACGACAATGTTAGATCCCTTTGAAGTGAATTACATGACTTGTGAGTTAGACGATGTAATGTGGGTACCAGGAACTGGACAACCAGTGAGCATTCAACCAGTAATTTTTAATTACTATGAATGATCTTCAATAATAAAAAATATTGATATAAGTTTTTCCAATGGCTTGCATTATTTTATTACAAAAATGTTTCCTTACCCTTCTTTTACAGCCAACAGTGAAATAAAATTACATTCATATGCATTCATAATTTATTTTTTTTCTATTAACATATTTTAAAGCTAAATGGTGAATTTTTACTAAGCCAAAACTCATGTCCTGTAAACATCTCTCACAGTTTCTGAAATCACACATTGCTCCCTGCCTTCTCATTAATAATCCCAACTGTAGATAGAAGCTTGGTGCTTTATCTCCAAGGACTTTCCCTGTTACTGACAAAAGCACATACCTGCTAATGTCTGTCATTTCCATAGCACTGAGCATCCCTCTGAAATTTCCCTCAGTGGTTATATTACTGTTCAGATGAATGGCTACTATAGTATATCATGTACATGCTATTTCTAAGAAAAAAAATTAATTGGACACAAAATACAACCTAATCCAAAGCTCTGCACATTTTTAAAAATTATGTTTTAAAAGTCTCTAATGTGGGCTAAATTGTAAAATGAGCTATGGTAGTGGAGGACTTGCTAGTCAGGGTAGAGGAGTGACACCATACACAGGGGCAATGGCTCCAAGGGAGAAAGAAGGGTGAACAACCAGCTCAGTAGCAGGGCAGTGAGGTCAGCAGACTAACATGGCCAAACCTAGATACTGACTTGAATACAACAATGCCCTCAGTGATGGCAAACAATCAGATACAATATACACAAGGGTCAAGAGGTCCCAAAGGCACAGACAATATGTGTTGTGATGGAGGGAAGGGGGCTCTAAAAAGGCACAGACTTAAGCTGGAGGTCTCAGAGGTCCATGATTCAAACAGTACTAAATTATCATGTGGGGGTGGATTGCTAAAATGATATATAGATGTAAATGTTGAGCTTTGACTCACCACAGAGAAATGACTAGCTTGCTAACAGCTACATTACCATAGATGACTAAGCAATGTCTGCAACCCACACATGCTTTTATGGAGCTGTGTGACACAGGATCCACTGTGGATTCAAAAACCACTCAAACACCCATTTCCTAACATGGCTTGCAACTAGACCTAACCTAGCTCTCTGCCATGCTATAATATACATTATATTGGTAAATTGACATGTTTTATTTAAGCTTGTTGAACAGCTAGGAGTCCTCTCTTGCATCAAATTCAAGTATGTTTATGTCAAGTGTGTCTAACGCCATGTCCTGGGCCAGGTTGATCCCTGGTTCTAAAATGGAAAAAACACCCTGTTTAATTGAACAGCTTTAGGGAAAACTGTTTCCAACATTTGTTACTGTTCTTTATCCCACAACAGGAAGCCAGAAGCTCACTGATGGGGGCCTCTGAGGAACCCACTGCTGCTGCTTCTTCCTCAGTCAATTTCTGATGGATGCTGTGAGAGTCGTGATCTGACAATGGAGTTAGCCTTGTTTGAACTACTTCTGCATACTATAAATGGCTAATTTGATGTTTGATGTTTCTATCTGCAACTATCCCTTTTAGTTTGCTTTGATACACTAAATCAACTCACTCATTTGAAACCAAAAGTAGGGTTTTCACAGGTTATTCTTACACAGAACTCACATGTCCTCCATCCTACATGGTTAGACGTAGGCTCTATCTATGTGTTTACATTAATCACAGCTCTAGAAAACACAGTTCTACAGTCACAACATGCCCAAGGTCAAATTTTCATTAATCATTAAGGCAGTGAGTGTGATCACTGTTATTTATTATGTGGTGACTCGATAGAGAATGCAACACTTCCATACACTCAGACACTATACATATTGGCTACAAAAGCCAAAATAAGTAACTCAACACAATATATTTTAAAACAAATCACATTAGCAAGTGGCTGTTTTCAATCATGTGCATGAACTTTTGCAAAGTAAACTTACTAAACTTAATATGCTGGACCCAAACCTCTCAATAAATGATAATCAGAAGGCTTGAATTCTCACTTGCAACATGGAAGTTCAGCCATCCAAATGGCTTAGATATGTGGATAAGACATGGGAAATGCTTTTTTAGTTCTAAACTATACGTGAGCTTTCAGAATGTTTAACAGCATGATCATGGTGAGGCTGGGATTCCTTCTGTCTATAGCAACATCGTTCATACCTCCTGAATTCAGGTAACGTTTACCAATATGCACTACAGGGTACTTCTCTGCCAGCCGCTTATCTGGCCACAGAATCGCATCAGCAGCGAAGACAATTTTGTGATTTGTCTTCTGAAACTTTTTAAGGACTTCTTCGGGCCCACCAGCAAATACAACATCAAAACTGTTAAAAAAACAAAACAAAACAAATAAGCTTTAAAATGCATGGTTGAGAATTTAAACAGACGACCAAGACAAAAAAAAAAAAAAAAAAAGTTCCTAAAAATGAGACTATAGAATCCATATAGGATTAACACATCTGTTTATAGAACACCGGAAAACAACCTTCCAATTCACATTAAACGAACTATTTATGTTTGATTCTGGTTTTACTTAACATTGACAAATGAAATACAAATATGTGATAGCTTTCATTATAATAGATAACTTATTTCAAAATAAAAATTGTAAGAGTGCAAATGTTACAAGTTATATAAATTGTAGGCACAGGCATAAACACTTACAAATGTTTCCATCTTAGTAGTCATATATTTCAGTGACATGTGTACCAATCCATTATTACCTCTGAGAAACTGGTTTTGACAAATGTCTCACATTGCCATCAATGAGCATTTAATAACTGACATACTATGTAATATGAAATTTCAATCAGACAAGTTCATCTTTAAAGCCCCATAGATTTGAATCAAGGTAAAAATAAATAATATAGTTTAAGGTCTAATGTTTTTACCAATTTTTCTCCTGGACTTTATTTGTTCAGTTATAACTTATTAAATCTAACAGAAAATTAACTTGCAACCTCAAATTTACCTGTATTTGTTTTTACATCAGTATACCAGAAAGTCAAATACCAGCAGGACACCAAGATAATGGTTATCTTAGGTAGCAAACATGAGGGTAAGCTCTTGATCCTGAGTTCTGTGAAGGGCTCCTTAGAAGCTAACACTTCAGATGTAATGCGAGGACCTGACAGGAAACACATAGCTGCCCCAACTATGCTCGCCAGCTATATTTATTAGACATGGACGTGTAAGATTTAGTAATTTATAGTTTAATGTATTTGTATTATTTTATCAAAATATAACACATTATTGCCTATCTCTATGATATACTTTTTAAAAGCCAAAAATATCTGAAGTATGCTTACGTTCTCCACCAGGCTCTTAGCAGAGACAGTACCTGTCCCTTTAGTAGTGCACCTCTCAGGTGTAAGCTGAGCACAAGACCCTCCTGTACAGAAAGTACTGTGAAACAGGACAGGACACATGACTAAGTCTCCCCAGCACAGTGTGAAGGAACAAGGAGGCATGACCGCCAGGTCCCGTCCTTTAAAAAGGACACTGCCCACACCACTCTGCTCTTTCCTCTGCACAGGCAGCCAGTGCAGAGGAAATACAGATCAATTGACTCAAAACTGAGGTAATAATTACACAACTAAATTCTGTAGTCCTGCTAAACAAAATTGGTATTTACTAATTTATTTTGAGACAAGAGTCTCTCACTCTATTGAACAGACTAAACTTGAAATCTTCCCAGCACAACAGCCAAGGACTGAAATTGCTCATATAATCCACCACTCTTAACACCTCCTCCATTTTTGTTTTTACAATAACAGCTATAAAAGCAATGTTGGAATCAGTTAATTTCTTGTCACTTGCAGTCATTCTAGAAAATTTAAATTTTATCAGTTACTTTTATTTCCATTATGAAATATTGCACATAAAAATTAAATTTCTGCTCATGAAGACTGACACAGAAAGATTGCAGACACATAAGTACACAGTGGAATACATTTTTTTCTTTTCACTCCTTTTCACAGGAGAGATACTGTTAGCACTACTAAGAGCACAATCGAGAAGTCTATGACAGCATGTACTGAAGTCTGCCAGTTGCAGGCTGATCCCAGCTTTTCTGCGAGCTATCAGTACCAAACCAGTTATTTAACCTTGTTTAATTTCTCATTTATAAAACAGAGGGTAAGAGACCAGAAATGCTCTGGTTAACTGTTACTAGCACACTTTTAAGTGTGCTAGCGAACACAACAGCCTCTGGTTAACTGGAGGAGGGACAGCTGAGAAGGCAGGGCAAAGTACAAGCCAGTGCAAGCATGGGTGTGTTTAAAATAAGCTTTAGAGATACATTTTTAAACGGCAAGCTCTAATTCCCAATAAAATTATTCTGACTGAAATCTCAGAATTAACTTTCCGATGCGTTTATTTAAAATTAAACAAATAAACTAACCTGTTATACAAAAAGAAAAATATGAAACAAATACACTTTTTATTTATTACTTTTAGCATACTTGTTTTATTCCAAAGTACTAGTTGTTGTTGGTATTGGTGGTGTGTGTGTGTGTGTGTGTGTGTGTGTAAATAAGACCAAAGATGAGATCAAAAACTCAAACTCTGAGTCAGGCATTCAGTGAGCCTCAGAGGAGGCCGAGACTTTTTCTGAATACAAAAAAAAAAAAAGAAAAAAAAAAGAAAAAAAAAAAAGTATCTTGGTATGTCAAAGAACCACGATGTTAGCCTAACCTGAGAAATGAGTAGTAGCACCACATACTCAAAGGTTACACGTGAGGGTGGAGTGTGACTCCAAGTATAGCATTAGGCTCAGGCAAAGGAAGCCTGGGTTTGGTCCCCAGCATGGAGCCCAGCATGGTTACCACTTTGAAAGGAATGTCTTTCACCTTTGAAACTCTAGTGAAGGACAAAGACATAACTATATCTCAGACTATTAATGAAGTTGACAGCTTATAAAAGGAGAAAGTATGATGTTAATTAGCACTTTATAAACATTACTTTTAAAATGCAATTCTTTTAATGCGCATGAAAAAAAAATATCTTCATACAATTCAAGTAGGAATGTTACTTTGGCTAAAAACGTAAAATATTTCCCTTTTTGAGAAAAGGTGTTACGCAGCCCAGGCAAGCCAAGAACACACTATGAAGTTCAGGCCAGCCCTGAACTCATGATCCACTGTCTTCGCCTCCTAAATGCTGGCATTACCAGCAGGTGCCACCACACACAGCTAAAAAGGTATGGCGAAATTTTTCCCATTTCATTCTAGCAGGTGTCATTTCTGTGTAAATTCCTCCGAAAATGTCTTTGTGCCTATTTAAAACTTCTCAAAAAGAAGAAAGTTTTTCTACTTAAAATTATTTGAACCACAAAAATGTAAAAAAAAATATTTTTTCAAAAAGACAAATGCACAGAGGTCATAAAAATAATTCTCACAGGAACTTAGTCCATTTAAATATGAAGAATAAAATAAAAGTTTCCACATCTAAGTATGGTAAATAGCCCTAAGTCCTGCAAAACCCATAAGATTGAACCCAGACATGCCGCAGTTCTATCTCTAACAGGTCTTTGAGACTTTTATGAGTGTTTGTCCTTTTATGAGTTATTTTTGTGGTACCTTCAACCACACAGTTACCCAGACTGGATGAAATTCCGTCATTCATCCTGGACTCGTCCCATTTCATGACTGCTTCCATCAAAATCCTTTTGCCTTTTCTTACTGATTCCATCTTAGGTCTACCATTCAGTTCCTCTCCCAGAAGACAATGACCCAGACTGATTTACACAACCTACAGGCTACACATGCACCCTCCAAGAGATCTGCGACCCCCTGCCATACTCATTCTTGCTTGGAGTCTACCACTCTCTTGAAGGTACCACACCCCAGAGTCAATTGCTGTGCCTGAAATAAAAGTCACTAAATATTTACATTGGCCTGCATAAGACATTTGGTACTCTGAAGGTCACATAGACTCTGTCAAAATTTTTCTTTCTGCCAGGCTGGTACAAAAGCAGTCACAAACAAGATCTAGCAAATGTAGATCCCTGAGTTACAGAATAACGTTCCGCCACATAAGACCTATTGACGGAAACATGTGCTATGAAATAAAATCTAAATGGATCACACTCACACAAACAATCTCCAAATACTATCATATTCAGAATTTAATTTCAAGTCTTTCATGTGGGATAAAGTGTGTCTTCATAATGAGCATCTACTTAACATGTATTTTCTAACTGGATCCAAGCCATCTGCCTTCAAGGCTCATTTCCAATGTCAACTCCTCCTGACACCAACAGGGCAGAAAAATGTCATTTATTTCCAGTTACCTCTCACTAGCCTTTTCCTCTCCTTACCCACCCAAATATTCAATCTATTTAATTTTTATTTAAAACAAAAAACCTCTCTTAAACTAGGCTTCATTTTCTCCTTTATCTGCTGAATTCACGACTTTATCATCTGTACAGGCCCTTACGATCTCAAAGGTATTTAGTAAATGTCTGTTGAACAAATGACTGACTCAACCTATAAATGAATTATATCACATCTAAACAAGAAGTAGCCTAGCAGAAAAGCCACAGAAGTCTCTTGCAACCTTGTCATTCCTCCCTAATCCAATATTTTACATGCATAGAATTAAACAAGAATTATAATCACCTGAACCATTCTAACAAAAGGAAAGAGATGCAGGACCATACCTGAAAACTATGTGTCTCAAGTCCCCCCCCCCCCAGATATCCAGAGATAGACCCTAATGAAACTCTATGGAACCTTTAGTACCTGCAACACACATAGACACACAGTCAGACAGGCACAGCCACACACACACACACACACACACACACACACACACAGAGGCACAGCCACACACACACACACACACACACACAGGCACACACACACACACACACACACACAGAGGCACAGCCACACACACACACACACACACACACAGGCACACACACACACATACACACACACCCAGTCACAGTTAGCACACACTGACAAAGCCTTTGTAGACCATGTGCTTCTCCCCACGCCTGCATGTCCATGAGTATACTCACTATAGCCAGTGAATACAGACAAGAACATACAGTGTGAAAAATGAAAACGCACCCATTTCCTTCTTAATTTCTTAGCACATTTACACCAATGAACTGATCACAGTGAACTAAATTTAAAGAGACAGCTAACAATTTCGATCTTTCCTGAAAAAAAAAAAAAAGTTACACAGCACAGAAACCGGGAACCATGGTGTATTTTGTTTCTTCCTTACTAATAGAATGTAACACTGCCCATCATCAATGACAAGCTCCTATGTGTCTGCACACCTAAGCTGTCACTACTGCCATGGAGGAGATGTCATCAAATAAACCCGCTTTTCTACATAAAACTACAGATATTGCTTTAAAAGCAGTGCTCTCCGGAATAACTAGCTGGTCCACTGACATATGACTGACCCTGACAGTATCTAGAGAACCAGACCTTCCTTAAATATTCAGGTCTTTTCCACCAAGCTGAGTCTTAAATACAATGCAACTGAACCACACTGATTTGCCCCAGGTTATGGGTATCTGATACCGTCCCTATCCTGTCTGTCAGAAACAGCTGGGCTCTTCACACTGCCAACTCTCCAAGACTAAATCTTACAAATATGGAAGAAAGGAAGCTGGGAAGGGAAGCATAGAGAAAAGCAGGTTACCCCAACTCAGGGGCTCAGGAACCTAAACATCATTGCTAGCTTCTATGAGGTTGTTTGTCCATGGATTATCTGCCTCTAATCAAAATCCAAATTTGCTTGTGTCAGGGTCAAACTCAGTGATGTGAGCACAAAAAAAATCTGTGTTCTGTGCTTAATACATGTATGTACACACTTCACAGTGCACAAGCTATTCCACACTGGCCATCATATCACAATTCATCTTGCAATAAAAGGTACATATAAGAAAACAAAGTTTTTGTTTTGAAAAAAAAAAAAAACAAATTCTAGGAATGAAAATTTTAAGTGTTGATGCCCCTGAGACATCATTATTTCCACTTTTATGCCAAAGCTTAGGCCATCCTCACATATTGTTTTGCCGAAGAACCACCACCTTTATTGTCATCTGCAAATGATGAGTCTTTGCATTTGGAAATTAGAAAAAAAAAAGATTTGAGATAATTTCCCTACACAAATGAGGTGAATTCAAAGTAATTTAAAATGAATGATCAGCACCAATACTATAACAATGAAAAAGAAAAACACACAGAACTGTAATATGACACGACTTGGTGTTTTTAAAGTTAAGAAAAGATTGTAGATATTTCAAATGAATTAGGAGAATATGACAGTACACAAAATGGCATTTGTGGATTAGGGAGATGGCTCAATGGCAGACTGCATGCTTTGGATGTGTATCCCTTTGCATTTTGGCTCAAGCTCAAAACTAAATAAATTCAAAGGAGTTTATGCCTGAAAGGTTCTTTGTTCTTAACAGCACAGGGACTCATGTCTACCTTGTATTTGTAACTTTACAAGGTATTTTTGTTCACAGTTAAACAGAACCTATTTCAGAACCCGTTTGATTGTCTCCTTCAATTATGTATCAAGTATGATCGCTGCTGCACTTTTAACTCAAGGTTAAAATTTCACAAAAAATGTTAAATTAGACCTTTTATCTCGTTTTTTTTTATTATAACTCATCATCTTTAATATATTACAAGATTGGCCCAGATTGTGATTTTTCATGCATAATAAATTTATTTTACATAAAAGAAAAGTTTCTGTTAATGAAAAATTGAGTATAAAATAATATTGCTTTTAAGTTGTGGCTTAGAAACAGAGGTTATTTATTGAAGAAACCAGTTATAACTGAGGAAAATATCCTTATTATAATAATGATTCTTTGCAGTAAAATAATTCAACATATAAATTTCAGTTATAAATTTCAATCTTTAAAAGTAATCAAGGGGGAGCTCATGGACCCCAATCTTATAGCTGGGAAACCAGCATAGAATCAACTCAGACCCCTGAACCTGGGTGTCATTTAGGAGGACTGGGCAGTCTATGCGGCCTCTGGTAGTGGATCACGATTTATCCCTAGTGTACAAATGGACTTTGGGAGCCCATTCCACATAGAGGAATACTCTCTCAGCCTAGACACATAGGGGAGGGCCTAGACCCTGCTCAAAATGATATGACAGACTTTGAAGATCCCCCGTGGAAGGCTTCACCCTCCCTGGGGTACAGAAAGGGAATGGAATAGGGAGTAGGTGGGGGATAGGGGAGAAGGGGAGGGAGAGGAAACTGGTATTGACATGTAAAACAAGACTGATTCAATTTAAATTTAAGAAAGTAAAACAATGTAGATAGAAAACCCACAGACTATTTCTCTTACCATTCAGTAAACAAGATAACCAGATCCTCCTGACTGGCGTACTGTGCCATGACTTCTTTCATTAATCTCACCTTCTGGCCCCCTCCAATACTGTTAATCCCATCACCACCTCTCCACTCTTGCCCTTGACCAAGAACCTATAAATGAAATCAAGAATTCATTCTGAGGAAAATGTTAATGGTAATAATAGCATAAATATGTCAAAAGAAATGTGTACAGTAACCCACTATTTATTAAAGCTCAATGCTAGAGAAAAGAAAATTAATTCATGGGCCAGTGGTAATTCATCAGTGTCATCTACCACTAACACACCATTCCAAACATTTCAAAAGCTGACTCTAACCCATAGAAGTGAACTCATATCATCTTATTCTCGTTTTTCAGATTTAAATGAAGAAACCTTCTAACCTCCTAACAAGTCCCATGATTGAAAGATAAATCATACCTTCACAGTATAATTGAAATACTTGGCTGAATTCATAAATCGGTGGAATCCATCATTTTCTTTTGTCGCTACGGTTATGACTAATAATTTATCTGTAAAAATATAAAAAAGAAGGCTTAACAAGAAATTAAATGCTATCATTCCATAATCCAATATAGATTACAAACTTTATCTTGTGGGAATGCCTTTGATCAGTTAATTTAGATAACTCTATATAAAGTACTGTTGAAAAATAGGCATTTCAGGTGGGTTATCCAATGATGAAGCCATGTAGCAAGAAATTATTTTATTATTTTAACAGTAAATAAAGTTCGTTAGTGGCTCAGGGAGAATGGATTCTGAATAGAGACTTCAAACCCAGAAGAAAACTTTTCACAAGATGTCTATTTCTTCTGTAAGGATTAAACTTTTGTAGCTATGACTTCATCTTCCAGGTGTACTGTTACCTAGGAACAATCCCAGCTATAAGGCATAATTTCATGTGACTTCCTAGCCATCCCTATCTACTCAGCAGTGACACTGGTTGACCTAAGTGCAAGACTAATCCTTATCGTCTAAAATAAACTTCACAAATTGAAAGCAGATTGTAGAAAAAGTCTTACTTCTCTTCCTTCTCATAAAATCTTATACTAGATGTCTTAAAAGTCATCACATTTCTATCACTTATTTATTGCTTATCAGAACAAAAGCCAGCAATGCTAATAACATCATCAGTAAATATGTAGCTTCTAGTGGCCTTTTATAGTGGCCTTTCCTCTAATTTAATCTAGCATTTCTTGACAGAAGCAGGCAGAATAAGGATCTGTTCACAAATGTCAATAAAAAGTGACTGTAGATAGATGGATAATATTTATCATGCTAAAGAATGTTGGGAAAATCATAAAAGATGCATCTTCCCCCAGCAAGCACTGAGGAGTGGGGGCATTTCTGTTTCCAGAATTAGGAGCAGTCATAGAGTAGAACAGACAAACTCTCATCTCAACACTGTAAGCACAAAGCTATCCCACTTAATTAATTAATTCTCTAAGGCATGGAGATACAAGAAAACTGAAAAGGTCCTGCATGAACCCCAAATCATATACAATCTTTAACTGTAGGATTTATGGAACATAGGAATCAGTTAATAAATTAAGATAACGCTCCATCTCAAGCTCTAAAACGAAGTTACTACAGAAAATAAGTACAATGGAAATAAACATTATTCAAACCAAAAGACAAATAATTCCATCAAAATAAATAATGCATTTTTAGATTTCTGGTTAAAAAAAGAAGTATATCTTACAAAATTTAAGAAATAAATGTTGCAAATAAAATAAAGCCATCTGTTAATGGTGTGATGATCTGAGCGTGGTGGTTTGAATGAGAATGGTCACCATGCTCGTGTATATTTGAAGGCTTAGTCACCAGGGCACGGAACAGTTGGGGAAGGACTGGCCTTGATAGAGGAGGTGTCTCCCACCTCACCCCTGCTACCCAACTATCAAGTTGTAAAGCTCTCAGCTACTGCTCCAGCTCCATGACTTTCTGCTTCCCATCATGATGATTATGGACTATCTCAAACTGTAGGGGAGTCCCTAATTAAATGCTTTCTTTTGTAAGATTTGCCTTGGTCATGTTTCTTCACAGCAATAGAATAGTAACTAAGATATTGAATAACGTTATCTTAAAGACATTTTAACATTATTATTTTTAGAGAACAAAATTTCCCAGGGCTGGAGAGATGGGCAAGCCAGAGTACCTGAGCTGGATGTCTAGACCCAAGGAAGGATGGGGGCAGCAGCAGCACAAGGATCTGTAATCCCAGCATGTCTCACAGGAGAGACACAAGGCACAGGCAGGAGATACTGCAGAAGCTCTTCTTGGCCAGCAGGCCATATGCAGTGGTGATGGCATCCAGACTTTGCTTATGTTCAAGATTTATTTATTGTTTTACTTTCTGTGCATGGGTGGTTTGACGGAATGAAAGTGGAAGGGTAAGGACTAGCACCCCAAGGCTGTCTTCTGGCTTCTACACAAGAAAGCTGTGGCATGACTATGCCCTCACATGCACACACACATGAACACAAACAGAAACAGCATACTCATATGTAAACACAAAAACTAAATAAATAGGAATCAATTTCACTTTTAATATTTCAAACATGGCTTCACTGATTAATAATTTGGCAAGTCACTATTTGTAGTTCACATTAAAACAGAGGACCAGCTCTTAGGAAGACAAAGAGAATACTTTTAGAGGACCCTTTTTCTATAATGATTTTAAACTATGTTTCTACATAAACCGAAGACTACTACAAGTCCTGAGATTTCACTGGACTGATTGTTACGTTTACCGTCACTAATATAAATTAATAACAAGAATTTTATCATTCTCAATAGGACTCATCATTCAGCGAGAACTTTAAGAAGATCCATATTGCTTCTGTACTGCAGCTGATAACAAATGCTCAATGTACACAACCTATTTAAAGGCAGGTGTATTTTACTGTTACCCACAGACAGCTGCCTTCTCACCTGCATCTCAGCATCACTATTAAGAGAAGTGGACCTTATTAACGGTAAACAAAATGATGACGTGAACTACTCAGAAACTTTCAAAAACCAACTCAAGACCTCAAGTTAAGTGCAGGAGAGTTGACTCAGCAGTTAAGAGCACATACTGTTTTTACACTCCCCAGTTCTTTTCCAATACTCTCCAGAAACTGCAATTACAGATTCATTAGAACAGTTAAAATTTATTATCAAATTCTCTCCAACAAGACTGCATTCCAAAAAGTCATGATGTCCTCAACCATTAACTAGTCCACCAAGTTTTTCATGGTATTTAGTAGTTCATGGATTAATAAACACTTTAAATTTATTTTTATTTTCTGTTGACACATAAAAGCATAAAAATGTACATATAATTGAGTACAAGAAAACTTTTCATACATATATATGCTTCATGTATAAACATTTTTGACCAAGTGGATTCAGGGACAAATGATAATATATATATCACATGCATATTTGTACACAATCATTTTCAGCAAAATGCATACCATTATCTGGCATTTAAATTTAAATAGGATGTGTGACTTAGCTAATACCACCAAATACATTATTTGCAGAGCAAGGAGGACAACATCAGTGTTAATCTGTAAAATTCATTTGCTTCCAGTATTTTGGGTGGTCTCATTTAGCAAAGACTCAAAGAGCAGAAAACAGACTTTGGAATGTCATGTGAGCAGAAAAGGAATGGCAAGCCTGAGACTTCCTTCAGAAAGGGCTGCTTGGAGGGCTAATCTCAGCAGTGTTTGGAAATTTGGACCCCAGATGTTGTCCATAACATTTCCAAGGGATCACCCTATTCTGAAGAACTGATCAACCTAACGTGTCCAATGGTTTTTTTTTTTTTTTTTTTTTTTTTTTTTTTTTTTTTGCTGACCAGCTGATTTTCTGCTTGATTTTGCAATTGTGGTGAGGAGCTTGAGTATATCATGTGCCTTAGTGACAACGGGGCACTCAGTCACTGCCAGGCTACCCCAGGTTATGAACGTCTCACACATGCTGGCTGTTGGGAAACTGAACCCCGTCTTGCTTGACTTCACCAGAACAGACTGGAGGACCCACATATGGCTCTCCAGGGATCTCCAAGTGCTGCATCTGCTTTGTCCCACCCTGATCCATTCGGAGATGAGAGGGTAACTAGAGCTGAATCCCCAGTCATCCTGTTGCATCCCTGAGAGCTAATCCTTAACCCTCAACAAAGCCAACTGGCTAGTTACAGGATATGACTGACCATCATTTCAAGACTCAGAATCCAGGGAAGACTGCTTATAGATGCCAGAACCAGAATTCATGCAAAAGACAAGCATGCCCACTGATAGTCATTTCCTATCAGTGTAATTATTATCCATATGACAGAATAACAAGGCCACTTCTTATGGAGGAAAAAAAAAAAAAGATAATGTACAGAAAAAATTAAGACTTTCAAAGGATCCTGCAGCTAGGCAGGAAACAATTCAAGAATAAATTTTGGATATAAATTACAGAAGTATAAGTTTATATTTTTTCGGGGACTGCAGACATGACCCAATGGTTAAGAGCACAACTGCTGATACCTCCAGCTTTGGATATGAGGCCTTCTCTGGCCCCAGTGAGCACTTGCACACATGGCACTCACTCACAAAAACACATACATAGAAATTAAAAGATCAATCTTAACAACATCTTTTCCTAGGTCTTACAATACCACTTGGTTGCTAAGTACTGAGCCACACAAACAATCTAACAAACTAAAGGCTTTGCAGTGTAGGTGGCTAGGGAGTAATTTTTATTTTGTGAAATTGTGAAATTCAGGGCAAAAGGGCCTCACGAGCAATTCCTAACATAAGTTCAAAAGGACAACAGGAGACAAGGGGACATTTTCATCTACACTTTCACACTCAGCAGCATGATGTAGTAGTATGTAGAGAGACGTGCTACTAGGTAGATATGAGTCAGCTGTCACCCACTTCTCTTTCTCAACACACTGCTTACTATAAACGTGGGAAATTCACAGACTAACCAGGATAAGCTGATCGCCACAGCAGTGTGCACACTGTGGATGATAGGATGGCCGTCACCAGCTTTTTGCAGGCAGACGACATGATAATCTATCTTAGGCAGAAGGCACTAAGTTCTGTCAAATAAACTCTTCGGGTACCAGAAGAGACAATCTGATGAAAGTTTCTATAGTGACCGGAAGACTAACTTACACAAACCTATGAAAGCTTAAAGACATTTTCAAGTATGCAAGTAGATTATATTGCAAATAAAATCAAAATTAGTATATTATACTAAAAGTGATTATAGGTCAAGATTGAAACTATAAAACTCTATCATACTATGAGATGTAATTTTTATATAAAATATTATTGGCCAATACTTTATATCAATGATAAAAACCACTAATCACAGAAATCAAGTTTGGGATTAATCCATGCCCTTGTTCCAACAATACTCGTAGCTTAAGAAAAAGATTAATAAAACATGAGGCACTTTGATTATTTGATCTGTACAAAATGCCCTTCATTCAGAATTCCTTTTAAGGACACCTCACCAGCATCCC